TTTGACTACGTTTCAGTGAATTGTTCTACCTTGTATTTTCAGATTAATCCCATTCGATTAGTTAATATCACGTTATTTCTGATGAGCTTGTGATTGTTCATCTGAAAAAGCATGCCCTCACATTTATTCGATTGTTTTTTCGCTCAAATCACGATGCCATCGAACCTGTCAAATCATTATTGAGGTTAAGTATACTGGGATTGAGTAATTGGAGATGAACCTGAGGTTGAGCAGCGGCCATTCAACTAAAGCCCGGCGAAGCGTTTCGCATAATAGTCTAACGCTGGGCTGTGAGCACGTGACGCGGCTCAACCTCGTGTACATGTGACGCGCGTGGAATTTATCCCAAGCTGGGGCGGAGTGGCGTATTTCTAGCTGAGATACGGGTTCCGAGCCGAGCTCGAGCGGCGTGATTTCTACCCGGGAAAACGGGTCAAATAAGCTGAACAGCCGTAAATGTTCCCTAATGATTTTTCATATGCATGAAAATTTCCTTGTAACTCGATTTCATACATATTTCCTCTGTTCTAAAATTCTACAAAACTTTCCCATTCGACCAAGTAACATAAAGAGAATATCAAAAGTTTCCTGCTCATACTCCCCGAACGTTCATATATGCAGATGAGCATGCAGATGGGATCGAGTCCGTTAAAGACCTCGCACAGTCACGAGACTCCTACCTCACGAAAAAAAACCGCGTCAAAACAAGTACAGAAACAAAAAGGTAGAAATTGGGACAAGCTTTTCCGACACCTGGAAGCTTGAACGAACAAGAAAAAAAACAATGAAGACGTAAAGAAGGGATATGAATATAGAGATCAGTGCTCATTGCAGAGGTGTTTTCAAGTTTCGACTGTATTCACATCTCGTAGAAAGGAAGCGACAATGTTTCGTTTATTTCGATAGGAAAAATTCTTCAACCCTATAGCTGGATAAATCCTTACGAATTAATTGACAGCTTTATTGAATTCGTTATCAATTGACTAGTTCAGATGTTATTCTTAAATTTTGCCTGAATTCTTTATAAAATTATATACAATAAATACTTCATGTTCATCCCAAAATTTTGTAAATTGTAATGAGTTTAATATGAAGAAAAAGTTTTAATAATGAAAAAACTTGCGACATTGATTTATTCACTTGAATGTTTTTTTTTTATATTTCACGTAGAATATTAAATATTTTTATCACTTTTTTTATTAGATTGTTTTTTTATTACATTATTACAGAAAATGGCAAAGTTCTCATAAAAACGGGCCAAATGAGCTGAACAGGCGTAAGTTTTCCCTAATGACTTCATATGCATGAAAAGTTCCTTATAACTTCATTTCATATATAATTCCGGTGCCCTAGCATTTTGGAAAACTTTCCCATTCGACCAAAAAGTAATATGAAGGGAATATCAAAAGTTTCCTCCTCACACTCCCCGAACGTTCAAATATGCAGATAAACATGCAGATGGGATCGAGGTCCCGTAAAGACCTCGCACACCCACGAGACTCCTACTTTATGAAAAAAATCGCGTCGAAACAAGCATAAAAACAAAAACATATTGATCTATTCACTTAAATGTTTTTTTTTATCATTTTTTTTATGCTATAGATTTTGTCATAGAAAATGGCAAAATTCTGACAAAAACGGGTCAAATAAGTTGAACAGGCGTAGATTTTCCCTCATGATTTTTCAAATACACGAAAATTTTCTTGTAACTCAATCTCTCTATATTATAAAAAACCAAATCGACTTCTGGTGATACAAATTTGGTACTCGAAATTAAAACTCCGAAATTAAGGGCTACAAGGGTCAGAATAAGGGTCACGAGAGTCAAAATAAGGGTCATGAGGTTCAAAATAAGGGCCGCAAGGGTCACGAGGGTTAAAATAAGGATCATGAGTGTCAAAATAAGGGCCGCAAGGGTCACGAGGGTTAAAATAAGGGTCATGAGTGTCAAAATAAGGACCGCGAGGGTTAAACTAAGCGTCGCGAGGGCAGAATAATGGTCGCGAGGGTCAGATTAAGGGTTATGTGGGTCAGATTAAGGCTCTTAAGATTAAGGGTCTCAAGGGTCGGTGTAAGGGTCCAAATAAGGGACATGAGGGTCAAAAACCAAAGGTCACGAACTAAGGGTCACTTGGGTCAAAATAGGGGTGACGAGGGTTATAATATGGGTCAGAAACTAAGGGTCACAAGGGTTTAAATAAAGGTCTCAATATCTCTTCATATTATACAAATCCAAAGCCACTTTTGGTCATGAAAATTTGGTGCTTGATATTAAGACTCCAAAATTAAAGGTCAGTAATGAAGGGTCAAAAGAGGGGTCACGAGGGTTATAATGAGGGTTTGAAACTGAGAGTCACAAGGGTCAGAATAACGATCATGGGGGTCATAGGGGGGTTGACGAGCGGAGCGACCAGGGGGCGTGCCCCCTAGTTTTATGTATAATTTCTCTACCCTAGCATTCAACACAACTTTTCCATTCGACCAAAAAATAACATGAAGAGAATATCAAAAGTTTCCTTCTCACACTCCTCGAACGTTCAAACATGCAGATGAGCATGCAGATGGGATCGAGGTCCCGTCAAGACCTCACACAACCGCGAGACAGCTCCGTTGATCCTACGACAACCTCTGAATTCCACCTTATGAAAAAATCGCGTGAAAAAAAACAGAAACAAAAAGATGAAAATTGGGACAGGCTTTTCCGACACTTCAGAACACCTGGAAGCTTGAAAGAACAAGAACAAAACACAGTGGAGGGATGAAAAAGGGGAGTTGAATTGCTGAAGTGCAGGGGTGAGGAGCACGTTCTCGCGTGTGCCCATGGAAGTCACGCGGGGCTATTTCACAGCGGTGGAGGGGCTCTTTGCGTCTGTAATAGTACCACCTGAACTCTCCCTACCATTCGTGTAGTTCATCCCCCTCCTGCATTGGGCTCAGTGTCGTACCCCGTTTTGGATGACTCGACGCAGTCGCAGATGATGAAAACATTGGCCTCCCACTTCAACCAGTGGAGATGACCCCTCTGCCTCACTCACACCCTCACCCTACCCCGACAATCCCAGACTTGGCGCTGTTGGCTGCCTCGGTCAATTCTCAACCAGTATGGCGCTACGCGCTCTAACACGCCACCCGTCGCACCATGAATTATTTCTAATTCGAAGTAAATAAAGTTAACGTGTTCGCGCGACTATTTTTTCCCCTCATTCTCATCATTAATGTGAAGTTGTAAGCGCACTTCTTGCGAAAGTATTTCATAATTTGGAAGTGCCATTGCACTGTAAACTTCAAAAATAAAAACAATCCAGGGGAAAACGATGAGAAATACAACAAGAAATGAGGCAATGAGTTACTCCAAGTGATAGAGATCTGAATGCGGAGAGACAAACATTAGAGTACGCGTGATACGTGCGTGAAGGGAAGTGGTGGGGTATTACGGCCAACCTCGTGCTACTCCTGCGGGCACTGCGGTGAGAAGCAGCGTCGGTGACTGAGCATTTGATCGACGAGGATTTACCCCATCGGGGGCAGAATTCATCGTTAACGAATAATTCAGGAATATGAATTAATATTGGGTCTCATATTGACTGACAAAATGACGGATGTAGTGGATCAACTGATCAACCTGGCGATGAGTTATCTGTCGATTATTAACTGTCCATAGTGAGTGTGGTTGGTAAAAATATTTAGATAAGCCGGTTTGCGAGTACTTTTGACACTTGTTTAGGGGTTTAGAGTTGGGTGGGTGGTTATGCCTGGCTGATTGAAAATATCGTTCTCCGTTACGCGGTAGAGATAACATTGACCTCCATCCCCTCGTTATCCGCTGGGCACTTTGGCTAATCCTCCCCCCCCCCCC